TAATTGAATGATTAATTAAAATAAATAAATAATGATAGAGTTAAAAATAAAAAAACCATAATTAATTTAAATCAAATTTAAAATAAAAAATAACAATTATTTTAATACATATAAAATAGATATTAAGAACGATTTTAAGGCATATGATTTTATTACTCCGACACTATGTTTTCGCATTAGTCTTATAATATTGTATAGGGTATTGCTTATTAAAAAAACAATATCTACATGTGTTAACATAGGTGAATCAATATTTTAAGGTGTCTTATAAAGAGTGTACCATGAGGGTTATTATACCACCATAATATTAGTAACATAGTGGGGATCATTTTCATCTTAAACTTAATCTATTTACCTTCATTCCTCATTTTTTTTTTTCTAGATAAGAAGAAAAAGAAGATAATGATGTGATTTCGATAATTCAAAAAAATTAATTCAGATAATCATCAGAAAATCTAAAGATATTGTCATCATTAAATTTCCTCATAGTAAGTAAAAAGAGTGTTTGAAACAAACCACTCTTTTAATTTTTTAATAAGAAAAACAAATCCATTTTACTGCCTAATAATATTAATATAATAAATAAACGAAAAGAAGGTGGGGTAAACATGTACTTTCAAGGGTGAGAGGCGCGGGTCCTGGTGTGAATTTGAATTTTGCGCGATCTAAAATTTACCCAGAGCCGACTTGAATGCCGTGTGATGGTGCAGCGGCGGTGGTGAGACTGAGATCCGAACAGCTCTTGAATTTCTTCCCCCACCCGCCCAACAACCACATTACACTTTCCCGATTTCCTCCCTCCTCTTTTAACAATCTCAAATCCCGAACTTTTTTTTTTCCTGTTCTCGAAATCAGCTGTTTGTTTCGAGGGAAAATGTCTGTTTCTTCCTTAGTTTCTCCCGAACTCGAATCCAGTGGGAGACCTTATTATTCCCGCAAAGAGAAATCTCTCGGCCTCTTGTGCTCCAAGTAACTCCTTTTTTTTCTCCATCTCGAGTTAAGATTAGATCTTGTTCAAGTTTTTTTCGTTTTCTTTTCGATTATTTTTCACTCTGTTTTGGTTTGTTTTAATCTCTCAGTTTCTTGACGTTGTACAATCGAGATGGCGTTGATGCGATTGGACTTGATGATGCTGCCAGTAAATTAGGTCTTTTCAAATCTCTGCTTCGTGTTTGGTTACTGAGAAAATTAGAGAATATGGAAGAAGATAAACGAAAATAAAATTTTTTGGATCTATTTATCTTATGTTGGGAACCTTATCTCACTCTAGTTAAGTTGTGCTAAAATTGTCTTAAAAAAAAAAAAATTGTGCTTCCTTTTTCTAATATGAAGATTGTTGCTTTATTGAGGTTCAATTAATTGAAATTGGGATGCCAAAGATTAGAAATTTTATTCTATTTGGGGTATTTTTCTAGCTGCCGAATAGGATTTAGAGCTACTGATAACCTAAACTGAAACCTTTTTTTTTTTTTTTTGGAATTTCAGGAGTTGAGCGTCGCAGAATATATGATGTGGTGAATATATTGGAGAGTATTGGAGTAAGATTAATATCCCTTCTTTTACTTTTGTTAATAAATTAATTAAAAATCCCAAGTTTCGTTCTGAGTGAGAGGAGGAGGAGGAGAGGGACTATTTTATGAGCTTTTTAGAGTTGATTATCATGAATTAATTAGGTTTTCTTATTGTTTAGGTTGTTGCAAGAAGAGGGAAGAACAAATACACATGGAAGGGCATTGGAGAAATTCCGAGGGCCTTAAAGGAGCTAAGGGTATATATTATTGAATGTTAATTATCTGTGTCTTTCTTCATGAGATGTCTTATCTGTATGTCATTTTTTCTAATTACAGGAAGAGGGACTGAGAGAGAACTTCAGTATTTTAGTTCCTGCCAACTCCTCAAGGGTATGATGAACAAGATTTTGTTTCAATTGAGAGCAAAAATAGATAGTAATGTATTTGGAATTTGGAACTTTAACTTGGTTTTCTAAGTCATGAATTAGATTTGGTAAATTGGAATTTCCACTTAAATTACTACTTATGCAGTAAATCTTTGTCGTATAGTTTAAATTACTTTCATATTTTATGAGAACATGTTTAGTCCTTCCACCTTTTTTGTTATTTGAGTTTATTTTTTTTCGTTCAGTTCTTGGATGACAATGGAAGTGGAGAGTCTATGAATGTGAAAAGTGATGTGCCAGACAATTCTTCGGGCTCAATGAAAGCAGGTAACCTTGTTCTGTCATTTAATGCAGAAAGTGAATTGCTCTTAAGATAGATAATTTTCTACAATCTTGCTTGACATTTATCTTTGTTTGCCTAGATAACAAAAGGGAAAAATCCCTATTGATTCTCACGCAGAACTTTATCAAGCTTTTCCTTTGCTCAGACGTAAGTGATGACCTTTCCTTTTACATGGTTTTTCTATCTTGAACAATTGATTTGTCATTTATAGCTATCATCTTTGTTTCCATTAGGTTAATATGATCACACTGGACAGTGCTGCTATTGCCCTTTTGGGTGATTCCAACAATTCAACAGCTATGAGAAGTAATTCGTCTTCCATAATCATAATCCTTGTTGAAAGTTTTATGACTATAAATTAGATGATAAACCAAAGACTGATATTCTTATCTGAATTTGATTCTGCAGCAAAAATTAGACGATTGTATGACATCGCTAATGTTTTCTCTTCTATGAATCTGATTGAGAAGGTAAAATGGTGCTCTTCCTATATTCTACATCATTAACAAAACTCCATGCAAGGAAGAAAATTTACCCTTTTTTTGATTTTATCCATACCATAAGAAGGTCCATATAGGGGCCTTGAGCCCTTAACCATGCCTAGGTTTTTTTGTTTTCTTATTACTTCTATAATTTGTTTGATCATTTGCAGATCCATCATCCAGAGAGCAGAAAACCTGCATTTAGGTGGTTAGGATGGGAAGGAAAACGTTATAGTGGATCAGCCACAGCCTTGGGTTTGAATGAAACAAAGAAGAGGGTGTTTGGATCTGACATTACCAACAACAGTTTAAAGAGAAATAAGGTGGATTACCCAGGTGACTGGATTTCAGATCAGAAGGAGAATATGAGTATGCATAGTAACCATGACATTTCAGACAATAACCATAATATGCATAAACTCAAACAGCATTCAAAACACAGTTCCAAGGATTTTGTATTCGGCCCCTTTACTCCTGCAAACATAAAAGGTGATTCCGGAAATAAGAATGTGAGAGGGCTTCAGGACTGGGAGAACTTAGCTTCTAGTTATAAACCTCAGTATCGCAATCAAGGTAACTACTCAGAGTTCAGTGTATAAAGAGCCAAGCTCCACTTGCTTTTTATTAGTTACTCTATCAATGAAAGCTGAATTTCACTATGTTAGATTACCGTATTTCCAGAAAAAAAAGAATAACTCATTCACACACTTCTTATTCTCATCATGCTACTAACCACACAAAATCATGGAACTTTCATATCTGTTTTTTCCTATTAGTCAAACATGCTATAGTCCTTTTTTCTATTTTTTTTTTAATTTTATTTTCAGCATTAATTTTTTCTTTTGCATTCCTTTTTTTATTTTTACCCATATTGTTGTTGACAAGTAACAGTAGTATCAACAAGAAAAATAATATGGTTTTTGTTAATTGTCTTGTGGCAGCTCTCGGTGACCTCTTTGGCCATTACGTAGAGGCATGGAAGTCATGGTATGCTGAAGTTGAAGGAAAAGAACAAACACAACAAGGATCCTAACTATCCTGTGTCTTTTCAAACTCAAAATGACTACGGAATACAATTTTTTTTCTAACAGGTATATGTCTAGAAGTAGAATGTAGTTTCTTGATTGAACCAATTTCTTTGATCATCATAGTTGCCATGAATGCAGCAATTCCCTCGGCAAAGCTTCTAGCTTTCCCCACACCCCAAATAATTTCTTGGCCTATTTCTGTGTTATATCATTGATGGAAAAAAGAAGAGAATCGCTATGAAGTTGGACTTTTTCTTTTTTTTTTTTTCCGTTTTTCTTTTTCTTTTTAGAGTGTTAGCAAATTGTATAAGATTTATATGTGAGACTTATCTATGAGATAAATCACCTTGTTTAGATAAATTTCTATGCAAAAAAAAAATAAAAATGAAAACAGAAATAAATTCATTACTTTATTTCTAAAAAGAGTAATAATACATGTGACAAAAAATGAGAGGAACGAAAAATTTGGGAGAAAATGACATAAAATAAATTATATTATTAAATAAGATTATATATATAATATTATAAATTTTAATAAAGTAAAAAATTAATTATTAAATAATATAAAATTTATTTTTTATATTTTAAATAATTTATATTGTATTAATAGCCTCAAAATTTTGATTCTGTTTATTATTTATTTATTAAAAATTGTATCACTCTCTAATATAAGGGATGTGCCAATTTTTTTTTTTTTTCTAATTTATGATTAAATGAAATATAATTTATACTTATTAAAATTAAGTGGAGTGCAATCTATGCAGTTTAAACTGAACTTTTCTTTTGTTAGTTGGTAGAATTAATTTTCTAAAAGAAAAATAGCACGTCGTTTTTGACTTCGCGGTGGAGGAAAGAAAAGAAAGATGAATGCCTAACCAAAAGCAGCGTTGGTTTTTTCATAACGGGTTAAAGCCAATTATAGTCCCTCTGTTTTTAATTTTCATTCATTGTCCTATCCATATTTACAAATTATTTAAAATTCTCCCTTTACTCCTCCAAACCATAGTATTGTCCTCCCTTTACTTTAACTTTTCATTACATTTACCTCTTTCCTTTAAACACTCCTCTAATACCAAACTAACACCATTATAACTCTCATTTAATGGACAATTACGTGCAATATATATGTATATATATATATATATATATATATTTGGTTGAATTGTGTTTATACATGGGCCTTACAAAAATTTATGTCAACAACCCAAAGTTTGTCAAGTTGTTAGGTACAATGACAATCTAATTTATTCAAATATTAATTAAGATTAATACCATTTTTTAATTGATAATATAGAGATTTGTTTACCATTTCATATATATTTATGATTTTGCTTGGTTTTACTTGATTTGTTTAAAGAAAGTATAATTTGGTTATATTGTTATAAATTCATAGCTTATGACTTCGTTACTAAATGATCATAAAATATGAGGAAGACTTTGAATGATTTCTAAGTATAGGGAGGAAAATGAACGAAAATTAAAAGTGGAGGGACTATAGTTGGCTTTAACCCTTTCATAACCCAGAATGGTGGGTTGAGAGCTCTCGACGCTCCCGACGTTCTCATGGCACCTACGGCTGGAGGTCTCATCATCTCCCGCTTCACTGCCCTCTCATCAGAACCCTTCCGCGCTTCACTTTCCAGCCTTGTAGCCGTCACGAAGCGCCCCAACCGCGCCATATTACCCCCCACTTCCTCCGCGAGAGCTGCTCCAGTCACCGTCAGGTGCCTGAACGGCGGCGGGGTGTCGGATGACTTCGTCTCGACCCAAAAATCCAACTTGGATCGTGGGTTCTTGGTGATTGGTAAAATGTTAAAGCGCATCGAGCCCCTTGACACAACTTTTATCACCAAGGCGGTTTCGGATTCGGCCAAGGATTCCATGAAGCAGACCATTTCCACCATGCTTGGCCTTCTTCCATCTGATCATTTCGCCGTCTCCATTTCCCTCTCCAAAGACCCCCTTCATCGCCTCCTCTTCTCATCCATCATTACTGGGTACGTTCAAATTCTCCAAACAGAATTATGATTTGTGAATTTTTGTTTAAAAGTCTTTTCTCTTTTATTAACTGCCTTTTGTATGTATTAGATACACGCTGTGGAACGCAGAGTACAGGATTTCATTGACGAGAAATTGGGACATACCTTTGGAGAATACCAGAGAGGAGGAGTATTTGAGGCAGAGTGAGGTTTTGGAGGAGAAGAGTCAGGGGAGAGAGAGTAAGAGTTGTATTGAAGAATTACAGGGGATAGAGCCCCAGATTTTTGGAGATTTGTCACCGGAGGCATTGAATTACATTCAGAAGTTACAATCTGAGCTGTCTGAAGTAAAGGAGGTGAGGATTTTGTTGTTGGGTAATTGCAGGGTTTCTTTAATGATTGACGATATTCAGATAGTAATTAGGAGAGTATTGTGCTATAAATTTGATGGCTTGTTTTGATCGTTGCAATTTGGCCATGCTTTAGGTTTATGAATTAGTGAAATTATGCTACTTTATGAACAAGTATGAGGTTGGCTGCGCTATGTTTCTGTTTTAAGAGTAATATAGTCAGGTTAGAATTTAGGTGTAAATTTTCTAGCTTCTGAAAGCAAAAGATGGATTAGGAGATAGGGGAAATGCTGATAGAAGAATAACTTAGATGTCACCATGTTTCTAGCTTTACAAGCTTTGAATTTTTAGTTGTTTGTTGATTGTCCGAGAATGTAAGAATCTGCCTTTTTTTGTCCACCTATACAGAGCACCTGCAATAGGTTGGGGTTTCTGAATATACTATGGAGTTCATCAAGATATGAGTTTTTGATTGGAAAATATAGGAAGTAGCTGCCTTTACTGCTTCTGTGTAGCCTAATAATACAAAGACTGAAAGTTGATTCACATCATTGGCAGTGATTTTACTTCCTCATATAAAGCTTTTATTTTATTGTATTAGACACTGTGAACTTGCATATTGAGGCATGTTGCCTCAATCATGTGAACTCGCTGTCTGCTTTAAATATCTGTTGCCTTTGGAGTCCTTGAATAAATATTACTATCCACAATGCAGTGTTTTACATATTAGACAAACTGACAAAGTAAAAGAAAAGACTGAATATCACCCCCTTCCCACCTCCCACTTGGTGCATCCTTTTTCCTTTTCTGTTCCACATTGCTTGAGAAGATAGCATTACTTACAGTGACTAAAAAGTTGGATGGGAGTTGTTACAGTTTTTTTTTTTTCAGAAAGTTCATTGCACTGGTTCTTGACTGTATTTAGATGGTTAGAGAGCATTATAAAACAAGCATCTTTGGCAGCCAATTTTCTGCTGTTCTTTAACATTTTATTTACAAACAAGGAAATCTATGTTACTGAACTTTCCTCTTGCTTATATGCTTGAGATTAAATGGATCAAAGTACTTGTTAAATGTTAATTTACATTAGTCACTTTGAAGAATAGAAAGAAAGAAAGCAAACAGGTCGAGCAATCCATATTCATAGAAGGTCCCCTTATATGTTAATGGGTAAATAATGGGTAAAGATAAAGGTACTGACCACTTTATGGTACCATGCCATGCAGTTGATGAAGTGTTTAATATTTCCCTTTTTTAATCTTATTAGTATATGTTTCAGGATCTGAATGCGAAAAAGAGGGAAAATATGCAAATAGAATATGAAAGAGGAAATCAGAATGACTTGTTAGAATATTTACGATCCTTGGATGCTGACATGGTAATGACCTATAAATTGCCTCTTTTGTTGGATAATCTTGTTTCGAAATTGAATCTTATAGTTTGGAGCTCTAGAAGTAGAACATCTTATTTTAAGCCTAATTTGTATTGCCAGGTGACTGAATTATCCCAACCATCATCATTAGAGGTGGAGGAAATCATCCACCAACTTGTTCAGAATATATTGCACAGATTCTTTAAAGATGAGGTTAACTCTAACTTTAGGGGAGAGACAGTCACAGAAAATACAGGGAATCATCAATATGCTGATGATGAAAAGCTTGGCACAATAGGCACTTCCCGTGATTACCTTGCAAGGCTGCTTTTCTGGTGCGTTGGCATTTCTCTTGTTTAGGTTTACATCAATATTGTTCAAATGTCTGTGCATATGCATCAGCACGTAATTTGTTCTCATATTATCATTGTCATTTATGTTGTAAACAAATTGCTCTTTCCTTAGTCCAAACAGGCAGTTTAGTACATGTTTGTCTTCACCTCTGTAGATGTTTCACATAACATTTACGAATCACGAAACATCTTCATTCACAAATACATATGCACAAACTTTACATTGCAGACCGCAGAGGATGGACAAAACAAACCAACATTGATTCATTGTCATTCTTAAGATAACTACTAATCCACTATTGAAACGCTTCCACTTTGGTACTTTCCTTTGTTTTTGCCCCTGTTTTCATCCACCTCTTTTTTCTACTTGCAGGTGTATGTTAATGGGTCATCATTTAAGAGGCTTGGAGAACAGATTGCATTTAAGTTGTGCAGTTGGATTGTTGTGAAAAATATATGAGCCTTGTACATCCTTTTCCTTTGATTGATTTGTATGACATTATTTTTACAGGAAACACCAATAGCAATTATCATGCTCCATTTTTTCTACAACCAGCCTTTCTGCATTATTTTCATAGAGGGATAATATCTACTTGAGAAAATGACATCAAATACCCTACAGGACTTTCTCCTAATTTCTTCCCTAGGGCCTATGACACCAAAACAATCAAATTCTCATGAAACAGACAGGATTCAAGAAGTCTCTCTTCCATTAAATTTTCTATCATGTGTACAAAACAATGAGTTTAAGTTTGTCAAAAAGAATGTATGACATCCACAAAATGAATGGAAAAATAAAAAATAGAACTACATACTACTCGATAGGGATTTTTGTTCTGGTTTTCTGAAGAGATCATAAGGTTCCCAGAGATGATCAACTGGACAGGGGTTCTTAGCATCAAGCCTGGCCCATGGCTTTCCCTTACCACTCCAATGCAGCAAACTCACGCCGCCCGGATGCAAATTCCGGCAACTATCCACCACATTATCTCCCCCAAGCCCATGCTGATTCCACCTATGATCAATGGCCTCCACATCTCCTCCGAACACCAACAAAAAAGGCGGAAGAGAACCCAACTCGTAAATCCTCCTTTCCTTCTGAACCTTCATCCATTTCAAGATCTCCCTTGTGTACTCTCCCTCTCTCCACCTCTCTAAATCCATCACCATCACCCCCGTGTTGAAATAACAAGCCCTTTTCCCGGTGAAAACTCCGGCCAACTCAGGGTCAGACCAGAACTCGCCGGTGAAGTACTTGGTGAAAGTTGCATGACAATACTCGGGAGCTCCGATAGTTCTCGACCCAGATAGAGAAGTACTCCATAGCTTCTGAATATCGTCGACGACAATGACATCGGAATCGAGATAGATTACTCGCCGGATGGAGGGATCAAGGATTTCAGCCAAGAAGATTCTAGCATAGTTCAAAGGGTTCTCAAGAGCTTGACGGATTGACGATGAAATGAGATTGTTAACCAAACTTTCCTTGAATTCATAGACCCTGAAACCCAAAGAAGGAAATGCAGAGTGCAGAAGAGGAATGAAATCATTCGGCCTGACTGAGCTGGAATCGGAAGCGAGAAAGTGAAAGAAAATGTTATCCGGACAGGAAGAATGCTTGAGAACAGAGTGAACTGCAGCCATGGTGCCCCTCAAGTACTCAGGATCGAGGGTCATTGCTATACGAACCAGCAGAGGATCGGAACGAGAGAAGAAGAAACTACTTCTCGACAACATGGGACATTCAGGTCCATTCTGATACTCCGGTGCCTCCAACAACTCCATAGACATATCAAAACCCTTTTCTGTAACTTTCTCGGTGAACAAACGGATTCCATTGATGGGAAAAAGAAACAGAGCAAACAAACAAACACCCACAAAAACTAACCTTGTGAAGTCCATGATTAAGCATGAATGGAAATGGGTTTGGAAGGCATATATGTTCCTTGAAATGGAAGCCTCGGTAGGAAGAAAAGAAAAAAAAAAACACGGGAAAATTCACCAGGTCAAAGAGAAAGATCTACGTACTGTTTTGCAGACGCGGTTGTGAATGTGGAAATGAAGTTTTTTTTGGTAAATAATGTGGAAATGAAGTTACTTGCGTAGAATTCTTCCTTTCCGTTGAAATTCCATGTTGTTTATTGGCCAAAAGATTGTGGTAAGGTTCGAGGAATGTGACATTAGGTTCGTCCTCTCCTCCATTGGGATGGGGTGGAATGGGCCCTGCCTGCCCACATGCGGTGAACAGGTATAATTTGTTTTTTTTTTGAAAATAGGTAATGAGAACAGGTATCATTTGTTGGGTCTCTTAAAGTAGGGATTAATTAATGGCATGTGAGAACACATTCCATGAATAAGAATTATTTATTTATAGGTTAAATATCAATTTTGGTCCCTCAACTTTAATATTTTATATAATTTTCATCTTAATCTTTTTATGTATTTTTTTAATCTTTTAATTATGAAAAATATACTTTTTTAATCCTTTCGTTAATTTATCTATTAAGTTTATTTAAATATATACATTTTTAACCCTTCAGCTTAAAATTGAAGAATAAAAAATTTGCATATATTAAAAGTTACGAGATTAAAAATATATAGATTTAAATAAATTTAATGGATTAACTGATGAAATGATTAAAAAAATATATTTTTCATAGTTAAAAAATTAAAAAATACATAAAAAATTAAGGGATAAAAATTATATAAAATTTGAAAGTTGAAGGACCAAAATTAATATTTAACCTTGTTTATATTGTGCCTCGTGAATTCTTCATCTTCCATTGTTATGCAAATAGTGTTTGACGGTTTTAATTCTATTGCTTGGATAAAAATATTTGGGTAAAATATTAAAAA